ATCATTTCATGGAATGATGGAAACAAAAGCATTATATCACTACTAGGAAACACAATTTTTCACGAGCTAGGTTCACGTTGTTCCAAGCAAAGTCGACAACAAAACTTCCAGTCCAAATACTATGCATAACAACTTTATATGATAAGGTTGTGTAAGGATGTTACTTATATTTTCAAATGAAAAATACTAATTATGAATAAGAATCTAATTAAATTAATATCTACTAATTTAAAATTTTTAATTTATAATTAAAGTTATTAGTTCAAACTCTTAAAAGTATTAAATAGCTAATTAACTTCCAGTATACCAAACAATTGAAAAATAATAATTATATTTGCGTCCTATCTCTAAGAGACACTGACAAAGTTCACTTGGCTTTGAAAGCATCGCTGTATGATCTACATCCTTAATCTCCATCATATCGTTCACCGGAGAATTTTCTATCATCCAACGTTGGAACTCTTCTGGTATCGCCCTCATTGCATACAACATAGGTTCGTCTGGCTGATCCGTACCCCTCGTTAGAAAACTCATTCGCCTTTGCCAGATCTTGAATGAATAACGATCCTAGACCTAGCCTGATCATAGTCTCAGCCAACTCCAAATCCTTCCGCCCCAAAAAAGAAAGAAAAAGAGCTCAACTACCATGTAAGTATTACGTACAGTAAGTTTAAAAAGGCCTTTAAAAGTTGGATTTAGCATTAACGATTTATTGATCCAAGTGAAAAGAACTCGATCCCCCTTAAACAAAATCTTGAGTTTGAGTCTTATCAATGAAAAAACAGATACTGAGAGAATTTCTTTCCTAATAAGGTCGATGTGACTTGAATCCAAATTAATCGGATTTAATGTGATTATCGTATACTAAAAGGTTAATATAAAAGAAAAATTGGATTTAGCACGATTTAACTTATGTAACAAAAATAAATTTGTAAAATACCTCAATAGGGGAGAGCTGGGAGAGTTTGAAAACTAGATACTTGGGGCCGAACAGCATTGATGTATAAGACCTTGCTCTGGTCGTCCATAGGCTGCAAATTCAGTGTCTAACCAGGCGTCTACAGGGGTCC